CCAAGGCGATGGTGGATGAGAACAGTGGGGTGGGACAGTGCGCCACAAGAGCATGGGGGGGAGGTGGAATTGGAGGAAGGTGGCTCTAGAGGGAGGGGAGGGGAGAGAGTGGAGGTGCCTGCACAAGTGGTCACGTGGCATGAGGAGGGGCGGGGTGTGCTGAGGATGTACTGACGAGAGCGAGGGCAAAGTGGGAGGCGATGAAGGAGGCGACAAGTGGGGCCATAGAGGAGGTCACAGTAGGTGGCAGAGGCGGGGAAGAGGGTAGTGATGCCAGCCTATTGGAATTCACGGATGGAGAGCAGGTTATGACGAAGGGAGGGAATGTGGAGACCAGTGACCACTCCGGAGGGGAAGGGGGGGCAGGGGAGGGTGGAGAGATGAGTACAAAGGACGGAGAAGCTGGAATCATTGCCATGAACGTTGGTGGGGAAAGGGAGGGGGGTGAGGGTGCCGCGTCTTTGAGGGCAGTTTCAGTGGCACCACTATCGAGAACAAAGTCTATCGTGAGCGAGGAGGGAGCTGAAGACATGGGGTACTGGAAATCACTACCATTAAAAACAGAGGGATACATGGAAGTGGAAGCAGGGGAAGAACGCATGAGCTCGCCTAGAAAGCTCGAGTGGGAGGTGGGAGCACTAGGGGAAGGAGAGCCCCAGAGGGGAAAGCTAGGAGGACCTGTTGTGGCTGTGGCAGCCATGGCGGCGGTGACAAAGCCAAGCTGCTGCTGCTGCCATGCAGATGCTGCGGCTGCGGCTGCAGCCTGACCACCAGAGCCCCACTGCTGCTACTGCTGCAGCTGCTGGTGCAGCTGCAGCTGCTGGAAGCAGCGAAACTGCTGCAGCTCCTGGGGAGTTATGAGGTCAGTGACAGAGGAGGAGGAGGAGAGCTGATGATGAGAGGGGAGGAAAGACGGAAGAGTTTTGACATCCTGGAGAGAGGGGCGGGGATCCATGGCAGACCAGCGTGGGGGTGTGCCAATGTTGCCGCGCTTGAACCAGGCGTCATCATACGCCTTGAAGCCGGTCGTTGGGGGATGGTTGGTTTGGGTGCAGCGCTCACCCGCCCTGGGACCAAAACGGCGAAGATAGGAACATGGGGGGAGAGTGCCAGGGCGGCCACCACGGCTACCAGATGAGCCACCACTGCCTCCTCCACCACCACTGCTGCCACCCTCGACCCCGCCACCACCGCCGCCGGCTCCGTTGCCCCCACAACCGCCACCTCCACCCCCTCCCTGAGGGTTGGTGCGGCCGCCACGTGGGTGCCCGCCACGACGCGGCTGTGCGGCTGCAAGCTGGGGGTCTTGGGACTCGGTGGAGTTCAAGCCGGAGGGGGGGGTTGAGAGAAGGTGGGCCTCAGAGTCAATGATCCACTGGACCACATTGTCAAGGGAGGCGCAGGGCTGAGCCTCAGTGAAGACGATGACCTGCACTTTATTCTGAGGGGAGAGGCCTTCGAGGAGACGGTAGATCCGGAGGTTGGAGGGGAGAGTAGTCTGGCGAGCCTCTAGGCGGGAGGCAAGGTCCAGGAGACGGCTTGTGTAGTCAACGGCGTCAGCACTATTTTCCTTGAAGAGCGGTCCGACAGCGTTGAATTCGGTGCGTTCGAACATCGCCCCAAGCTCGAGCCAGATCTGGCGGGAGCCGATGCGACGTGCCTGCAAGTTGTGCATGAGCGCAGACGGGATGGCAAGGAGAAGGGCACCAGTAGCACGGCTGTCCGCCTTGAGCCAAGCGCGAGGACGCTCGGCAAATCGCGCAGAGTCAGCGGCATAAGTGGCGGCGGTAGCGGCATGATGGTTGCAGAGGGTGGTCGACTGCTCTTGTTCCTCCAAAGCGATCAGGTAATCAGTATGGAGCACGAGGAACTCACGACGCTGAGTAACGAAGAGCTGCTCAACTTCAGCGGTGGCAGCGCGAGTGCATGTGCCAATGGGTACCACGGGGGGCAGAGGTTCCTCGCCGGGATGGGGAATGAGAGGGGGGGGATCGCCAGGGTGAGGCGGCGGGTCCCAAGGTCACCCTCTGAGAGACCAAGCATGATGTCAAGGAGGCGGAACGGCAGGACATATGCACTGCCGAGGACGCGGTGGAGGCTGCCGACGAAGGAATACCAGTTGGTTGCTGAGTTGTCGGCAGCGCGCACCAAATGATTGAGGGTCGAGACCTTGACAGAAGGGGGAAAGGATGCCATTGGTGACACGGAGAGGGAGGAAGGTGACGGCGGGTGGACCCGCGGTGGCCGGGAGGAAGCGACAGCGGGTGGACCCTCGGCGATTCAAATAGGAGGGGAAGATGGGGATGGCTGCAGCTACTGCTGCTGCTCCTACTGCTGTTGCTGCTGCTGCCGCTGCTGCTGCTGCGTCTGCTGCTCCTTCTGCTGCTGCTGCTGCTGCTGTTGCTGCTGCTGCTGATGATGCTGCTGCTGCTGCAACTGCTGCTGCTGCTGCTGCTGCTGCTGGTCCTTCTGGTGCTGCTGCTGCTAGCTGATAGCAGTTAGCTGATGGGGAAGATGGCAGTTAGCGAATGAAAGTACGACTTGGTGGAAATTTCAGTAGCATTTCGTGATCACATTTAGGAAACTGCATGAACTTCGGAAAGCGATTTCCAACAATCCAATCGGTGAAACAGTATGAAATTTCACGAATTTGTAGCTGACACCAAGAGCGTTCTCTTGCAAGTCGAATCACGCAATTCTATCAACTAGCGAGCGAGCTATGGCGTTTGGCGCACTGGGGGTGTTTGAATATCCACCAAACAGAAAACTAGTTGTGAAGGGAAAGAGAGGCGGCGGCTAGGTCTAAGAAATAGAGCTGAAAATGATTGATTAGGTAAGGAGCCCAAGGCTCTATAAGTACATGGCAAGGTAAGGGAGAATGGATGAAGGGGGAATCGGAAGGAATCCCTATAAGAATCTCCGGAATCTCCAATAGAGTAATTGGAGATTAGGGGGATCACATTTGGGTGAGGTTGGGATTTGTGAGTACACCCCAACCCACCAGAACATTCCTAGCTTAAACTAGGATATAAAAGTACAAATACAAAAGTAGGATTTGCAATCTATTTCTAACACACCCCCATAGACTGCAAAACCCGGTCAAGGAGCACATAGCCCCATGGAACGAAGAAGGCGATGGTGGTCAGCCTTGCCAAGAGCCTTGGTAAAGAGGTCGGCGATGATGCAATCTGAAGCGGTGTACCATACCGTCAGATGGTCACTCTGAACAAGATCTCGAATGAAGAAATGACGAAGTTCAATGTGGTTGGTGCGAGAGTGGAACACAGGATCCTTGGTGAGGTGAATGGCGCTCTAGTTGTCACACCATAAGGTGGGCGACTGCTGGGGGTAGCCTAACTCAGCGAGGAGAAAGGAGAGCCAGCGTGCCTCTTGAGCAGCCATTGTGCCTGCATAGAGCTCGACCTCGCAGGACGTCAGGGAGACTGCAGAGGACCGAGTGGAACGCCAGCTGATGACTCCGTTACCAAGAGTGAAGCAATACCCTTGGGAGGAGCGTCTGTCAGTCTGGTCATCGGCCCATAAAGAGTCTGTGTATCCCTCGAGCTTGACTGGAGAGGTACCACCGAGAGTGAGGATGTGAGACTTGGTGGCTTGTAGATAGCGAAGCACCCTCTTGGCTGCAGACCAATGCGAGGCAGTGTAGCGTCCGGGGGAGACGTACCGAAAGAGGACACTACCCGGGTAAGCCATGTCTGGTCGAGTGCACATCATGGCATACATGAGTGAACCGACTAGCTCAGGGTACGGGTCCTTGCAGGCGTCAGGAGAAGGAACTGGAGGGGCCGTGAGCTGATGCTGTAGTGGGAGGGGAGTGGAGACAGAGTTACTGGAGTCCATGTCGAACCGCTTGAGAAGGTTGTCGATATAGGACTCCTGGGAGAGGGTGATCGTGCAAGCCTGGCGGTCACGAGTGATCTCCATCCCCAGGTAGTTCTTGAGGTCACCAAGATCCTTCATGAGAAGGGCGGAGCTGAGAGCAGACTGGACAGCTACCATCTCGGCTGGATCTCTGGCGGCTAGAATGAAGTCGTTGACGTAGACGAGGATGTAGAAGGGCTCGGAGGAGTGACGAACTAGAAGATTGAAATCTGAGGCGTGTTATAATCACAATAGGCTTAGATGTGCCTATAATGAGAGATAGAGAGCACAGTCGGATTTCCGTCAGACGGCTTCAAATATTGATAACGATCTGGTCGCTGAAGCAAACTATGATCTGTAAGTTGGATCTGAAGCGCGTGGCTGTCGTCTATCAGCAGCAAGTTGAATCATGAAATTCCGTGAAGATTTAACGACGCTATGGGGTTTGACTGGCAGAAGGTATAGCAGCCACTATAGTCTTGGAAGTACAAACTTAGCAAGAAGAGTTCGAGAGGGAGATGGTTCCCAGCCTCTACATACCCCAAGAGCCGAGGTCCAGGTTGGTGGTACACCACCACAGAGTCCCCAACCATGAAGAGACTCGAAACCAACCCTCCAAGGGGCTACACCAAGTGAAGCGTAACACTATACGAAGTAGCGTTACTATTTTCACTATTTAATATTTATCCGTGTCTCTAAGGCTTGAAACCTTGAGCTCTTGGTCTTGGTTCTGCAAGATAAATTCTTCTTGAGTTGATGGGGGCTTGCTGCACACACGTACGACAAGATGGACACTTCACACTCGACAAAATAGAAAAAACACATGCGACACACGAACGACGACTTGACATGCGAGTTGTAAAAACTCGCTAATGTCTTGACCGACACAAACCACATTGTGATACACCATTCAAACACACACACAAGCACTGGATAGCAATGACATAGACTCACAATTCATTCCATGCCATGCATGCACACACACAAGCAAGGACGACAAGCCGAGTGCAAGCCATAGGGTTGCACCAACAAACTCCCCCTCGGATTGTTGGCCTTAGAATCTGCTCCCCTTAGTTCAGAGCCATCCCAGCAAGCTTGCAACACTTCCAATGCTGCTGCTCAACCAGCCTCTTGGTCATCATATCAGCAGGCTGCGCCGTCGTCTTCACGTAGTGCAACTCCACTTCACCCGCGGTTACCATGCTCCTCACCCAATGCCACTTCACCTTCATGTGCTTGGTAAGGCCATGAAGAACGGGGTTCTTAGCCAATGCAATAGCACCCTGGCTATCACAGTAGAGTGGGGTAGGTCCTTGCTGCTCCTCCCCCAATTCAGCTAGCAAACGCCGCTGCCACACAACCTCTCTTATGGCACGAAAGAGTGCCATGTACTTGGACTCCACCGAACTCAATGCTTGGTCCACTTGTTTCTTGCTCTCCCAAGCTGTTGGCCCTCCACCAACACAGCAGATGAAGCCTCCCACACTTGTCATGTCCTCTGGTTCTGATGCCCAAGATGCATCAGAGAAGGCGGTGAGAAAGAGCCTCCCGGGTTCGACTCCATCCGCACCCTTTTGACGCCTTTGTGCCGCCGCGGAGTATTGCAGTCCAACAGTTGCTGTTTGGCCAAGGTACTTGGCCACCCTCTCTCCAGTTGCTACCTGCTCCTCATTGGGGCATTGGACAACCCTAGCCAGCTGCCCGGTAGCAAAGGCTGCATCCGGCCTTGTGTGAACGGCCGCATACATGAGGCTGCCCACCAAGGAGTGAAAACGCCGCCTCTCCTCTTCACCAACACTTTCCTCCGCTGGTCCTTTCACACACTTGAACCCTGAGGGAAAAGGAGTAGCCACATGACCTTCACTCTTCCCAAAGTTTGCAGCCAAGGCCTCCAAGTATTTCTTTTGATGCACTCGCATCCACCGCTTCTCCACATCTCGCTCAATGTGAAGCCCAAGGTAGTAGTTGATGTCACCAAGGGTCTTGCACTTGAACTTGTTTTGAAGCTTCAGCATCACCTCCTTCACAAGGTCAGAGGAGGGTGAGAATATGAGGATGTCATCCACATAAACCACCATGAAGCTCCTCTGCTCCCCCTCGCCAAGCATGAACAAGGATTGATCGGCCGTTGAGGGAGTGAAGCCGATCGCCTCCAAGACTTCCCGCAGCTTGATGTACCATTGCCTAGGGGCTTGCTTGAGGCCATAGAGTGCTTTCTTCAGCTTCCACACTCTGCCACTCCCATCATTGTACCCCTCTGGCTGCTCCATGTAGGTCTCTTCCTCCAAAACGCCGTTGAGGAAGGCCGTTACAATATCCATTTGCTTCACCACCCATCCTTTGATGGCCGCCGCGGCGAAGAGGGTTCGAAGGGTTGTACCCTTCACCACAGGGGCATACACTTCATTGTAGTCCTTCTTCTCTTGCTGCTGATACCCCTTGGCTACAAGTCTGCTCTTGTAGCGCTCAATGTTGCTGTTGGCGTCGGTCTTGCGCTTGAAGAGCCACTTGGAAGAGATCGCCTTCCGCCCCCGAGGTAGGTTCACCAAGTCAAATGTGTCGTTCTCGATGATGCTCCCCATTTCTTCATCTGAGGCCTTCTTCCACTCCTTTCCATTGGGGCCCTCCCAAGCCTCCTTGGGATTTGTAGGCTCCCCCGGTATGTCCACCGGAGAGAAGAAGGCAAAAGCGCACTCCTCGCTTTCATCTTCCGCATCATCACCTAGCATGAGAGCCGAACCGGTCAAGGTTGAGTTGGCTGGTCCTCCAAGCCGTTCATAGCTCAACCTATTGGGGGGCTGAGTCCTCCTTCTCCCCCTTCCTTCCTCCTCTGCTGCAGGGACTTGAATGCTCTCATGGCTTTGCGGCAAGTCCGGTCGGTTCCCGCGAGCACTTGTAGGACGAAGCGGAAGTGGCGGTACACGCTCATTACCTTGCTGCACCTCCTCCTCCTCCTCCTCATCCCCATTCATTTGGGGAGATTGCCTCGTGATTGTACTGCTGCTACTCAGCTCCAAGGGCAGCTCCACATGCTCCAAGCCGGTCCTCTTCACCTCTCCAAGCCGCACACCAATCTTCGCTTGGTTCTCCGCCTTCCACTCCTTGTACGGTAAGTTCTCCATGAACTTGCAATCTCTGCTCACCAGGAACTTCTTGGTAAATGGGTCCCATAGAAGCCATCCCTTGCTGTTTTGGGCCATGCCCAGGTGCACGGCCCATGTTGCCTTGGCATCAAGCTTGTTGTGCCGAAGTTTCTTAGGCACAAGTGCCATGCACATGCACCCGAACACCCGAAGCATATCCACCTTCGGCTTCCTTCCAATCCACTCCACATAGGGCACCCATTTGTCTTCTCCCACATGAGTCAAGGCTCTGTTCTTGGCCACACAAGCATGCCGCACCGCATCCGGCCAAAAGTAATTGGGTAGACCGGCTTCAATGAGAAGTCCCCGTGCCGTCTCCGTGAGTGTCCGATTCGCACGCTCGGCGATGCCGTTCATTGCAGGAGAGTAGGGCATGGTAAGAGAGTGCCTTATGCCCTGATTCTTTAGCCAAGTTGAGAAATCCTTGCTCAGGAACTCTCCCCCACGGTCAGTGCGAATCGCCTTCACAAGTCGGTCTTGTTGCCGCTCCACCATCGGCAACCAATCGGTCTTCACCGTTTCAGCTACATCACTCTTCTTGGGCAGCACATACACCCAAGTCATGCGAGTGTAGACGTCCACAATGGTGAGGAAGTACTCTGCTCCAGCAGCTCCAAGCTTCAAGGGGCCCACCACATCCATCACCACCTCATCAAGTGGTGCCTTCGCCGTTGTCTCCGAGCTATGGAATGGGTAGCGGGTGAACTTGGCTTGCATGCATGTTGGACAGCCAAGCACCTCATTGGGCTCCCCCTTGACACGTATTCCACTGACCATCTCTTGCTTAACAATCTGCTGCAAAATGGGCAATGCCACATGCCCCATTCGCCGATGCAAGGTCAGCCAATCACACTCTCCCGTAGCGGAAGTCGGGTTGGAGAAAGCGGCACTCGCAATTGTGCCCCACAAGCTCTCTCCTTTCTCCTTCGCCGCTGCTGCTTTGTTGATCTTAGCCTTCTCCTCCTCATTTCCACCACCTTTGGCTGCTGCACCATTCTCCTTGGGTTCACACGCCTTGCTGGTCTCTCCAAGGTTGCACTCCTTCGAGTCACTCTTGGTGTCACTTTGCTTTCCGTGATCACCGCCACCAACCGCTTCACGCTTGGTGCTGACGCTTGCTGCCACTTGCCTCTCTTTAGGCATGGGGACCACTGGGATTTGCCACATCTCATTGTAGATGTCCCTGTCCTCATGAAGGTCCCAAAGCTTCCGCTCACCAAGCCTTGCGGTATAGGTTTTGGATCCCTTGGAAGATGTGTCCATGCCGGCATTTTGCAAACGCCGAACGGAAATCAGGTTGGCTGCTAAGTTGGGCACCAAAAGCACGTTCTTGAGGCCCACCATCTTCCCATCAGCACCCTTGAACATGGCCTTGCCCATGCCCTTCACCTCTGCTCGCTGCCCCAAAGCCGATGTAACATGCTTGACCGGCGACGGTTCGAGTTCGGTGAGCAAGTCCGCACGAGGTGTCATGCTGTAGGTGGCGCCGCTAACGATGACCCAAAAGTCCAGAGAGTGAAGGGTGACCTTTCCCACAGTAGCTGGCTCCTCAAAGCCTTCCACACCTCCTGCTGCAGCTGCCGCTTGCGTGGAGACAAAGAAGAATTGGCCCGGGTATCAATCTTCACTCGAGTCCTTGTCGTAGTCTCCACCTTTCATGCTTGCCGCTTCACTTCCACGACCACCACGGCCTCCACGACCTCTGCCTCTTCCTCCCCTTGCTCCTCTGCCCTCTTGGCCTTGAGAAGGGGTCCATCCATCAGGCAATCTGAAGCAATCTCTCCACATGTGGCCGGTCTTGTGGCAAAAGTGGCATTCGCCATCAAATCGACCGCGCCCACGCCCGTAGCCATTGTTGTTGTTGTTGGTGCCATATCCTCCATTACCACGGCCTCCATTGAAGTTACTGCTGCCAAATTTTCCTCCTCGCCCTCAGTTCCCCCTCTAATTCTCCTCAGTTCCCCCTCCCATTCCCCACAGTTCCCTCTCTCATTCCCCTCAGATCCCCCTCTCATTCCCCTCAATTCCCCCTCTCATTCCCCTCACTTCCCCCTCTCATTCCCCTCACTTCCCCCTCTCATTCTCCTCAGTTCCCCCTCTCATTCCCCTCACTTCCCCCTCTCACTCCCCTCAGTTCCCTCTCTCATTCCCCTCAGTTCCCCCTCTCATTCCCTTTCTCATTCCCCTCACTTCCCCCTCTCATTCTCCTCAGTTTTCCCTCTCATTCTCCTCACTTCCCCCTCTCATTCCCCTCACTTCCCCTTCTCATTCCCCTCACTTCCCCCTCTCATTCCCCTCAGTTTCCCCTCTCATTCCCCTCACTTCCCCCTCTCATTCCCCTCAGTTCCCCCTCTCATTCCCCTAAGTTCCCCCTATCATTCTCCTCAGTTCCCCCTCTCATTCCCCTCACTGCCCCCTTTCATTCCCCACAGTTCACCCTCTCATTCCCCTCAGTTCCCCCTCTCATTCCCTTCACTTCCCCCTCTCATTCCCCTCAGCTCCCCCTCTCATTCCCCTCAGTTCCCCCTCTCATTCCCCTCACTTCCCCCTCTCATTCCCCTCACTTCCCCCTCTCATTCTCCTCAGTCCCCCCTCTCATTCCCCTCACTTCCCCCTCTCATTCTCCTCAGTTCCCCCTCTCATTCCCCTCTCATTCCCCTCAGTTCCCCCTCTCATTCCCCTCAGTTCCTCCTCTCATTCCCCCTAGTTCCCTTTCTCATTCCCCTCACTTCCCCCACTCATTCCCCTCAGTTCCACCTCTCATTCCCCTCACTTCCCCCTTTCATTCTCCTCAGTTCCCCCTCTCATTCTCCTCAGTTCCCCCTCTCCGGATGGAGAAGCCGGCTGGTCCCCAGGCGAGAGGCGAAGCCAATCCCTTGGAACGAGTGCGACTAGAGACCGGAGACGAAGGCGGCTGCGGTGGGACCAGAGGGACTGAGCGCTTTCGGTAGGAGACTGATGAGCCGGGCTCGATGCTTGGGGAAGGCGGAGCAAGAGGAGGTGCCACTGCGGAGGATACCGGGGATGCCGGGTGAGAATTGCCGGATGGAGAAGGCTCCGGAGAAGGGGCAGCGGCCGGAGGTGGGGCATCGAAGTCTGCCCATACAAGCGTTGGGGGAGGTGGACGAGGTTCGCCCATGGTCACAGAGTGGAAGGGGCGTGTCTCATCGAAGACGACATCACGGCTGCGAATCAGCTGTCAGGTAATGGGGTTGAGGAATAAGTAGTCTTGGGAATCGGAGTTGTGCCCCAGGTACATGCAGGTCTGGGTTTTGGGACCAAGCTTGCCACCTTGCTTCTTGCGCGTGTTGGAGCTGAGCAACACATATGCGGTACACCCCCAGACGCGTAGTGAGCGGGCAGAGGGCGTGGTCCCAAGCCAGAGAGTGGTAGGTGTGGTGTCGGGCCGGTGGGGATGCGGATAAAGATTGTAGACGAGAGCCGCATGGAAGAGGGCATATCCCCAGAGTGACCGGGGTGCGTTGGCGTGACTGAGGAGGCACCGAGCGATTTGAACCAAGGTGTGGTTGCGGCTCTCTGCAATGCCGTTCTGCTGCGAGCTTTCGGGGAGCGTGAAGGTTTGCCGAATCCCTTCGGCTGCGCAGAAGTTATCGAGTTTGCCATTGCGAATTTCTCCCCCGCCATCAGAATGGAGGCACTTCAGAGGAGTGCCGAACGTGACTTGAGCCTGGCGCACCCATGCCACGATGACCCTGACGTCAGGTGCCTTTGCCTTGGTGTGCAGGAGGTGTACGGAAACATACCGCGACTGGTCATCGACTAGTGTAAGAAAGTATCGATGACCGCCACGGGATGCGACTAGAGCTGGGCCCCAGACATCCATGTGCACTAGGTCCAGCGGAGCAGCTGCGACGGATGGCGAGGAAGGGTGTGGCTGCTGCCTGTTAGAAATAGAATGCAAATCCCGCTTTTGTATTTGTACTCTTATATCCTAGTTTAGGTTATGAATATTCTAGTGGGTTGGGGTGTACTCACAAATCCCAACCTCACCCAATTGTGATCCCCCCAATCTCCAATTACCCAATGGGAGATTCCGGAGATCCCAATGGGGATTCCCTCCGATTCCCCCATTCAACCATTCTCTCTTACCTTGCCATATACTTATAGAGCCTTGGGCTCCTTACCTAATCAATGATTTCAACTCTGTTTCTTACATGGTATCAGAGCAACCTATCTGCACACGCGGAACAAGGTCTTAATCTTAACGTGGCCGCGCTATGCGCACTTCATCGTTGCGACATTCATTTCGAGTCGTCGGAATTTGGATATGCTCCACTCTTCAGTTGTGCCTCTCATCGTCGACCGCCTTCACGCCCGACCTCGTTGAAATTCTCATCTCTGAAGCTTTCACGCTTCTCATCATCGATTTCTTGCTCGGTTCTCCTTGGTCGAATCTCTTAAAACTCGTTCTCGAGTTTCCCCTTAGACCCCGCCAGAATAGGCGAACTCCCATTTCGAAATCGCCTCCACGAACGACTCGCGTCAAGCAAGAGCAGGTACACAGGTGGAAGCGGAGCGGAGCTGGTTGCGGAGCTGGTTGCGGTGCTGTGTAGCTGCGGGACACGGCCTGGGGGTGTGTGGGGGGTTGTATGGGTCCGGGGCTAGATAAAGTCTCAGATTCAGTTTCAAGTCAGCATTTTAACGAAATTTCGCCGACGCCATTTCCTTCTTAGCGGCATTTCGATGAGGCCGTTAGGGTGATTTTCAGCACTTCTCGTCGACCGATTTCCAGAAGTGCCGCGCTGCGCACCGAAGTTCTTATTGGTGACTTAAGAGCGTCGCTTCGCGAAAAACATGTGGCAATGGCTTACTCAACCACTTCAGTCGCCAACCCGATCCCGCTCCTTTGTCTCGAGCCGGACGGTACATCCTCCAACTACAAGGCTTGGCGCTATGGTGTCGACAAGCACCTCCTCAGTCGCGAGGTGAAGGGGCTCGAGCTCACCGACGTCCTTCTCAACATCGGTGACGGCAAAGAGCCTCCTAAACCCGAGAGGTCCGCCGATCCAGCTAATGCCGCCGCCGAAGCAGTTTATGCTGCTGCACTTGTCAAGTACAAGAATTGGGAGAAGGCCGATGGTACGATCATTAGTGTCTTCATGGGCACCACTCCTCCCGAACTCGTCGAAACCTACCACAACTACCCGTCTGCCAATGCCATTTGGCTCTACCTCGAAGACCGCTTCCTGAACAAGACTGCAGTGGGAGTTGCTATAGTCATCCCCAGCATGTTCCAAGTGCGGCTCGAGGACTCGCCAGGCATGGCGGACTATGTCACCAAGGTGCAGTCCATTCATGGTGAACTCAAACAGTTGGGGATAGTCTTCGTTAAGCAAGCCCCTGCAGCCGCTCTCCTAGTTGGCCTCACTCCGGCATACAAAGTCACACGCAAGATGCTCTTGGGCCTTGCTCCTACGGACCTCACATTTGCCAAGGTCTCATCTACGCTCCTTTCTGCCGAAAAGGACAACATCGCTTAAGCCAAGGCCAATGCAACCCGCGCTCCCGTGCCTCAAGCCTATGTCGCTTCGGCACCATTCCAGCGCAACCGCTTCCCCCCGTGTCCCTACGTCATCAAGCGTGGCCCTCGTGCCGGCCAGGTGTGTGGCGGCACCAACCACGGCCTTGCCTCCTGCTTTAAGAAGAGGGATGACGAGTGGCATGCCGTCAATGGGACCGCCTCGAACGCACCAAGCTGGATGGTCAATCGTGCTTCTCGCCAAGTCAATCAAGTCAAAGCGCAGGAATCCGTGCAGGCAGCTGTGGCTGAACCTGCTGATGTGCACCTGAACATGTTGTTCCATGGCACTGCCATGGTTAATGAGACGATTTCGCAGTGTCCCGGCTCACGAAGCACCTCAGCCACAATAGAGTTCACCCTCGACAGTGGAGCCACTCACATAGTTCTCAAGGAAGAACACTCCTTCAAGCCATTCAAGACACCAATCCATCTACTAGGAGCAGACTCCAGTTTTACAATACACGCCAAGGGCTCCTCCACAGTTCCGTGCCCAGCTTTCCCTTCGGGCAGTGTGACTGGCATATGTGTTCCCACACTACGCCACAATCTTGTGGCCCAACACAAGCTCCAACGGGCAGGCGTCACCACGATCTTCCCAGCACACTCGGATCACTGTGACCTCTTCGACCCTAAGTCCAACAAGCTCCTAGCACGTCTTCACACTCAACAGTAGCAAGCTCTACACGCTGCGTTCACCTGCACCTCTCGCCGCCCTCTCCCAAGCGCAAGCTGCCAGCACCACTCCGTGTTCGTGTCGCAGCTTCGCCAACCCAACCATCCTCTACCACCATCGCTTGGGTCACCTCAACTTCCGTATACTTGCCGACATCGCTTCCAAGAAACTTCTTCTTGGCCTCCCGTCGGCGCTTCCTCCACCAACAGACTCACCTGCACCCACCTGCCTGGACTGCACCAAGAGCAAGCTCAGGCAGTATAAGAAATAGAGTTGAAATCATTGACTAGGTAAGGAGTCCAAGGCTCTATAAGCACATGACAAGGTGAGAGAGAATGGTTGAAGGGGGGAATCGGATGGTATCCCCATTGG